AAAGGAGGTGGAGGGACCTCCAGCACCTCAGACTCCTGGAGCGGACCAGCCACGACCGGCCTGAGGAGAGACACATGAAACGAGGGGTTAATACGGTAATACGGGAGTAATAACCTATATGTGACCTCGTTGATTCCCCTCAGGACATTGAACGGCCCTACAAACCGCGGGCTCAGCTTCCGGCAGGGCAGGCGGAGGGGCAGATTCCGGGTCGAGAGCCAGACCCGATCCCCCGGTACAAAAGACGGGGGCCTCACTGCGGTGATGGTCAGCGTTGGCCTTCTGACGATGCACGGCGCGTTGGAGGTGAACATGGGCAGCGTTCCACGTCTCCTCCGCGCGCCGAAACCAGTCATCCACCGCAGGAGCTTCGGTCTGGCTCTAGTGCCATGGTGCCAGAACCGGTTGATAACCTAAAACACACTGAAATGGCATTAGGTTCGTAGAGGAGTGGCGGAGAGATTTCTGGGCATATTCTGCCCATGGCAGGAACACCGACCACTCCCCCGGCCGGTCCTAGCAATAGGACCTCAGGAACCTACCCACATCCTGATTAACCCGTTCCACCTGCCCATTACTCTCAGGGTGGAACCCAGAGGTTAGGTTGACCGAGACTCCCAGATGTTCCATAAACGCCTTCCAGACTTTCGACGTGAACTGGGGACCTCGGTCAGACACTATATCCTCTGGTACCCCGTAGTGCCGGAAGACGTGTGTAAACAGGGCCTCCGCAGTTTGCAGAGCCGTGGGGAGACCGGGCAGAGGAAGGAGGCGGCAGGCCTTCGAAAAGCGGTCCACAACGACCAGGATGGTGGTGTTCCCTGAGAGAGAGGCAGATCAGTTTAAAAAATCAACACTCAAATGACACCATGGTCGTTGTGGAACTGGTAAAGGTTTTAACTTACCCGCTGGGAGGTGCTTAGGTGCCTTACTCTGGGCGCACACTGAGCAGGAGGAAACATACACCCTCACGTCCTTAGCCAAGGTAGGCCACCAGTACTTCTCGGTCAGGCAGCGCACTGTACGACCGATACATGGGTGACCAGAGGAGGGTGAAGTGTGTGCCCAGTAGATCAGACGATCACGGATAAGCGCAGGCACGTACTGCAGCCCAGCTGGACACTGCGGTGGAGATGGATCTGTGCGTAATGCCTGTGCTATATCAGTGTCCATCGCCCATACTACCGGCGCCACAATGCAGGAGTCTGGCAGTATGGGGGTATTGTCTCTGGGCCTCTTCTCTGTATCATACAGCCGGGACAGTGAGTCTGCCTTCACGTTCTTCGTACCCGGAATGAATGACAGTGTAAAATCAAACCGGGTGAAGAATAGGGCCCACCTGGCTTGGCGAGGGTTCAGTCTCCTCGCTGCCCGGATGTACTCCAGGTTACGGTGGTCCGTCCAGACGAGGAATGGGTGTTTTGTCCCCCTCGAGCCAATGTCTCCACACTGTCAGAGCTCAGACAACAGCCAACAGCTCCCGATCACCAACGGCGTAGTTCTGCTCGGCCAGGCTGAGCTTCTTTGAGAAGAACGCACAGGGGCGGAGCTTGGGTGGCGTGCCCGAGCGTTGAGACAGGACTGCTCCCATCCCAACCTCGGACGCATCCACCTCCACTACGAACGGTAGTGATGGATCGGGGTGGGCCAGTACCGGGGCCGAGGTGAACAGTTCCCTCAGGTTACTGAAGGCCATGTCAGCCTCAGCAGACCAGCGGAGCCGGGACGGCCCACCCTTCAACAGAGATGTAATGGGAGGTTACATCCAGATAAACCTCCGATAATAGATGGCGAAGCCAAGGAAGCGCTGCACCTCCTTTACCGTGGTTGGAGTTGGCCAATTACGCACGGCTGCAATGCGGTCGCCCTCCATCTCCACACCTGTGGTAGAAATGCAGTATCCGAGGAAGGAGATGGACTGCTGGAAAAACCTACACTTTTCTGCCTTAGCATAAAGGTAATTTTCCAACAGTCGGGCCAGTACTTTGCGAACCAGGGACACATGCTCGGCGCGCGTAGCGGAATACACCAAGATGTCGTTGATGTAGACCACTACACCGCGACCAAGCATGTCCCAAAACACCTAATTCACAAAGAACTGGAAGACTGAGGGAGCATTCATCAAACCATAGGGCATCACCAGGTATTCATAATGCCCCGTGGTTGTGCTGAATGCTGTCTTCCACTCATCTCCCTCTCGGATATGCACCAGGTTGTACGCACTCCTGAGATCTAATTTAGTGAAGAAGCGCGCTCCATGCAATGACTCAGCCACTGACGGAATGAGGGGGAGAGGATAACTAAATCTAATCGTCTCCTTGTTCAGTGGTCGACAGTCAATACACGGGCGCAGACCGCCGTCTTTCTTCTTCACAAAAAAGAAACTCGAGGAGGCGGGTAAAGTGGAGGGACGTATGTACCCCTGGCGCAGGGACTAGGTGACGTATGTCTCCATAGCCTCCATCTCCGCCTGCGACAGGGGACACACATGACTCCTGGTAGGTACAGCGTCTACCCGAAGGTTTATTGCGCAATCCCCCGCCCGATGAGGTGGTAATTTAGTCGCTTTATTTTTAGAGAAGACTTGTGCCAGATCATGGTATTCGGGGGGAATGCGCACGGTGGAGGCACCGTCTGGACATTCCACCATCGTTGCACCAACGGAAACACCCATACACCTACCCTGACACTCTCGCGACCACCCCGTGAGAACCCTCTGCGGGCATGAGAAAGTGGGGTTGTGGAGTGCTAGCCATGGAATACCTAACACCACAGGGAAAGCAGGAGATTCAATGATGGAAAAAGTGACCTGCTCACAATGCATCTCCTGTGTGATCATGGTGACTGGTACCGTGACATCCTTTATCAACACGGACGCTAATGGTCGACTATCAAGTGCTCTGATGGGGCGTGGACTGGATAGGGGAACTAATGAAATGCCCTGGCGGCGTGCGAAAGTTTTGTCCATAAAGTTCCCAGCTGCGCCTGAATCGACTAGCGCCTTACACTGGGGAACTCTCATCACCCCAGGAAGTATATGGGTATAGTACAGTGCTCAGCAGAGGGCTCTGAACAAGAGTGGGTGCTCAATACCTGGGGTGATGCGAGAGTGCCCTGCCGGCCACCTCCTGACCCAAAAGAGTGCTGACGACAACGTGTGGTGGAATGTCCCTTTGTGCCATCCGAGTGGCACTGGCGCGGTCGTCCTCCACTCTCTCGGTGCACGGTACCACCCAGCTCCATGAGCTCTGGATCCGCGTCGGTCGGGGCAGGAACAGGCACACCTCCTCCAGGACGTCCTCTGGTTGCCAGCAGGTTATCCAGACGAATGGCCACGTCCACCAGTTCGGTAAAAGACAAACTGGTGTCGCGGCAGGCTAGCTTCCCGTCGGCCGTCCTCCCGTAGATGGCACCGGAACTGGTTGATCAGGGCCCGCTCGTTCCACCCAGACCCTGCTGCCAGGATCCAGAACTCCAGCGCAAACTCCTGTACTGTCCTCGTCCCCTGCCTCAAGTGGACCAGCTGCTCACCCGCCTCTCGACCCTCGGGCGGGTGATCGAAAACCGCCCAAAATAGGCGGACGAACTCCCTGTAGTCCTCCAACGCGGCTCCTCCTTCTCTCCAAACCGGCGTTGGCCCACTCCAGGGCTTTCCCCGAGAGGCAGGAAATGAGGACGGACACCTGCTCTCGATCTGATGGCGCCGGCCTGACACTGGAGCAGTACAGCTCCAGTTGGAGAAGGAATCCCTGACATAGAGCCGGCGTCCCATCGAACGCCCAAGGTCAGGATATCTGGATCCCTCCAGATGCTGTGATGTAGGTGGCTGGATCCGGTTGGCCAGCTGGTCTCGACAGATCGGTATCTCTTCTCTCCAGGCGTTGGGCGACCTGAAAAACCTGATCCATCGCTTCCCCCAAGCTGGCCAGCATCGTGGAATGCTCCTGGACCCTTGCCATGATTCCAGGTGTGCGCTCTTCTCCCGCTGACTCCATAGCTGGTGAGTGATTCTGTGATGAGGTGTGATTGACGGAGTCAGGCGCAGGAGGTAAAACACAGAAATCAAGAGTTTATTCAGTGTACAATAATGTAGCGCATATAGCGACAGAACGAAACTAGCACAAGGGAAAATCAACCTTGGCTGCATACAAGAAAAGAGTAGCTCAACCGAGCTACCTACTCTCACAACGAACAATCACTCAAAGGACAAGGGGGCAGAGGGAACACTTATACACAGACTAATGAGGGAATGAGTCAATTGCCACTGAAAAATAGGTGTTTGACTAATATTTTAGTCACTATTTTTGTTGACGGAATTAACACTGTCCTACTGACATAGCCTAGGGAGAAGCATGTTTTAACTTAAAGGCTTTCACATAACAGTGCAGCAACGCAAGAATGGCTCCACCCCCCTCCTCCTCCACACACATGCCATTTTATGAAGAACAGTCCATCATTATTCACACACACTGCCATAAAGACCAGGAGGAACCAGAGCCGGCACCAGAAAGTGCTTAATTGATGTCATGCAAACTGGGCCGCCAGTCTAACGTTACATAATGTCTGTTATAACGCAACTCTCCTGCCAAGGTATACAGATTGGGGCATTATGATGCAAGTCAATCGTGCAGTCTTGACCCAAGCACTTAGCGATATTTAGCAACGTCAACCCCTCCCTTCTATGAAATATTTCATCACTCACAGTGGGCCTGTAGCAATCAGAGCACCGTCTTGTGTCACTGCGAGGATTTATTACAACATCTCCCTTTGTGACTTCATGTTCAATGTCAGGAGAATTGCAATATATTGTAAGGCAGTGATTGTGAAACCACATGCCTCCGCTCCCTGCTGTGTAACTGTGTGTCTGAATTAGCAGATCAAAGGCTATGGATAATTTTTTTTCAAAAGACCAACAGTAATAGTTTTGAGTTATGACATGGTTTTCAAAAGCCACATGTTTTCAATTTTTGAGAATAAAACAAAACATACTTCTGTGATAGCATGAAAAAAACGTTTATTTTCATAAACACACAGTACATTTTAACAAATGTAAAAAAGTGCAATATGCATTCAAACTACAGCAAATGTACAGTACCAAAAATCACTGCATACTTAAATATAAAAAAAATGATGGTAACAAAAAACAGTGAGAGCAACCTATCGCTGTGATCTTTGTCAAATTGGTTTGACTTTATGCCTATAAGAAGCTTCATAAACCATTAGTGATATGAACACTCATCTATCGGTATGACACTATGTGAGTATGCGGATGATCCTACGGTCTCTCTCTTCTGTTTCTCCAAAAGGTGCAATACATAAGATGTAACAGATCACAGACGCAAATAATAGATTGACATAATCATGATTCTCATTTTGTATCTTAAACAGCTTCAATGCTGTCTATTTAGTGACAACACCCATAGATATAACTTTGATGTTCTCCCACATTTCAAAGAGCACTAACAAGTTTGGAATCAAAACCCCATCTTGGCAACCCTGATGGACATGTGAATGTGATAAGAAAGATGATTTTATTTTATTTTCCCCCTCCAAATCAAAGAAGGTTAAAAAAGGAACACCAGGCTTCAGATTCCTGTTTCACCCCTTGGTCTATCGCTAGAAAAAACAACAATGAAAAAACTGAATAGAAATGCAGGGCCACTGTTCGACTAACTAAAGAGGAAGGGAAGCCTCGTCAGTGTCCCACTCCCATCATGTATCAACCCTACCATCCAAATCCTCTGCAATACTGGCAGCACCACACACACACACAACAGCCACACAGCTCTATGCCTCTGGTCTCACGGCTAAGGCACTACTGTGTGTCCATAAATCAAACATAAATGGAGGTGGACTAACGGCTCACACACTCATATAGCACTAATAACCTCCAGTCGCACTGTGTGCAGCATCAGACACAAAATTGCAACCTAGATGGGGTTAAGGGGCACCACAGTGAACAACACACCCCACAACACAGATTGCCACACACATTTTAAACGTAGTGCATATTACATGATGCACACACCATAGGACAGCCCTGCTGTCCAGAGATGTTGGCCTTGCACCTGGGAAGCACATCCATCGCTCTGCTCTCTAGATCTAGTGTGCAGCAAGAAAGAACAACAGCAACTAAACCCTTATCCTGTAATGGAAGCAGCAAAGGTGTAAACTGGGGAGAAACATGACAGAGCCATCTCTACAGTACAGCGGTCCTGTATACAGTATGTGCACATCACATCAGTGTTTCTGTGTGGCACACCAAATACATCATTGTATACAGTATCATGGTAGCCATGTCTTTTGACGTACAATGACAGAGGCAGAGGCAATGTGCCAACTCATTTAACACTTTCTTTGAGGTCAAGATTTTTGTGATAAGTGGCTGTTCGGGTTATGCCCAATAGAACCAAAACCTTTTCAAAAATAAAAATAAAAACAGGCAACTGACACGTCATTTCGATAAAATAGCATATGTACATACATACACAAACACACAGCATAAGTGATTAAAACTGGAAGGACACTGCTTGCAGTAAAACAGTGTGTCCGTACAGGAACTGGAGTCATTGGGAAGAACTAAGTCTGTGCTCGCCATATTAACAGACACATACATACAGTACTATACAGCAGTATATTCTATAACGTCATTGACTACTGTAAATACATATTTACATACAGTAAATACGTAATGTGCTCTCATACGTGGGAGAAATGCATGTGCAATATGAACCTATTAAAAATGTATTTTCACTTCTCTCATAAATAGTTCACAGTAACCATGTAATCACTCATGCACAAACATACACAAATACTGAACTTAAAAAATCATTTCAAAAGCAAATATTTGACTGCAACATTTTTGTTGAAAAAAAAAACAGAATAAAAAAATCTATGGCAAAGTAGCAAGATGTTGCATTATGAATTTGTACTATTTTCAATTCAATTTCAGGGCAGCAGTACTGACACAGGGAGAGAAAGAACAAGGATGGAAGTGGAATGACATCATGGATGTTGAGGGCTCATGCATAAGGAATGGTGTGACCATCCAGAGTCCCACAGAGGAAAGATCAGAGAGAAGCTGTCTCTGGAACCTAAAGAAGACTTTGTACGACTCCCAATGCAACTGCTCACAAATTTGATTCTGCAGCGCAACTCAGTTCAAAGACCAAGTCTCAGATGCAATAAAGGACATGATTACAGACAAGCGTGGATCAAAAAGCAGTTAGAGGGAGAGAATCCTGTGAGTTCTCTGCTCAACTTATAAAACGGACACAGAGCAGTTTGAATAAGATTAGCATTCAGTGTAGCCAGCAGTTATCCAGAAGCAAAGCAAAATCGCAAGAGGGTTCTGATAGGGGACTCCGGTCTCACACTGGTAAACCAGGGCCTAGACTCAGGCTAATGGGAAGGGAGGGCAGTGAGGAGCTGCAAGATGGCTTTCTCAGCCCCATTGGCTATGTCATCATATCTTTCCCACTGTACTGTTGCTGAATCTCAGGTGAGGTTTGGCTGTGTGTCCACCAGTCATGGGAGGCTCAGCAGACTTAAGATTATAAACTAGACAACTATGGACTACCCTTCATACAACATACAGCCCATACAGATCCGATACAGCATGTGAACTTCTCACCTGACAGGAGCGGGGTCTGTAAAACTACTTAAACAAAATTAAAAGCACCACATCACTGTGGTGTCACAGAGGTAGAATGGTCCCAGAAGACTCTTGGAATGATATCTAGACGTTCTGCCACAGGTAAAGGTTGGAAGCTTGGAGGACATTATAGCATGAAATCGAAGGAGGAATTACTTTTGTTACAGAAGTGGAATCATACTGCAGTACTTGCAGGGAGGGCTAGTGTCTTTTTGTTTTGAATTTGATTATTTTGGGATCTGAATTGTTAGAAAATTATTTGTGACATCTATTTGGCTCATCCCAAAATAATCAGTTTGATTAACTTTTTTATTCAAATCCCAAAATACAAAGCAGGCTCAGAAGCAGAGGTGCTGGATTCTATGCTTGTATAATTTAAAATACATTTCTAATATCACATCGTTAGTAACAACCTACAACTTGTAATGGATAATCAGTAACACAGAGGTGAAGAGGAAGAAAATGTTTCAGCATACCAACTCCAACTCTGCAGGACTGTTGTGATGTCACATACATTTGATCCATCACATGACAGCAATTGTTCTCCAAATAACATACTGCACGCTGAATGAATGGTGCTTTGTGTTATAACACGTTTATGGTCTCTGTAAGTCTCCTATTGCTCTATGTAAAAAGGTTTACTGAAGCTAAGATAGATGAGCAGTGATAAATACAGCATGGGCAACTACACCCTCTTCTCCCCTTTGTTTCAGCACATGGTGAAACTTCGGCAGATCTATCCCCAATGATAGAGCAAAATCAATATAATCTGATTATCAACTCTGACTAAGACAGCAACTAAGCCAATGAACACAATTTGTACCATTAACCAACGGTAAAGCAAACAGAAAATTGAATGATAAGTCTATGTGATCTCCACTGCGTGTGGAAGGCAGGGTATACATATGATGGTGATGATGATGAGGAATATGGTGGTATTGATAATAATGATGAATATGGTGGTGGTGATAATGATGAAGCTGTAACTCTGATCTCTGGACAGCTAGAAAAGCAGAGGACCAGGAATGAAAATAGCTTTTTAAAGTCCTGATGGAGACCAGGTATTCTGTACGAGGTTCATCTTTGCACACACATTCATTGAGCTCCATGCAAGAACAGCCTTTAACCAAAATACCATCTGGATTATGGTATAATATTTGGATTCTGTTTATTTTTTCTTAAATATGATGTGGATTTATATTAATATAAATTTATATTATTCAAATGTTTATTTATACATGTATAATTCTATATACACACATTTGTTTTTTAAGACTATCCCTCTCCCCTCTCCAAAATCTGTGTTACCCTCTCCAGCTCAGAGTGGGAGATGGAGGGATGGTTGGAGGAATGTCCCTCCATCCTTCCTGTCAGCTCCTGCCCCCCCTGGGCAGTGCTCTCTCTGGGCTGGGTCTGGTTCCTGTGTGCTCTGGGCTGGGTGGAGGTAGAGGTAGAGGTGGAGGTGGAGGGGCACTCCCATTCTAGGCCTGGCTCTGGGGAAAGAGAGTGGAGCAGGAGGGTGCCTGCATCCGAGGAGCAGACAGAGCACAGGTCTTCAGAGGAGAAGTTGAGGCTGCCCAGCTTGGCCAGTGAGTTGGAGCGTTTGAGGCTTGAGGGCACGGTGAGGCCGGCCAGCCGCATGCGGGTCTCGATCTCCTGAGCCCTCTGGCGCACCAGGCCGGGTTTGCCCCTCACACTGCGGATGCTGTCACTGCTGGAGCTACGTGTCAGCGTGGAGCTGTGGGAGGAGGAGGTGGGCTTCAGCACCTCAGATCTCACTGCACCCAGATTGGTCTCATTAGGAAGAGGAACCACCAGCAGCTCTAGGCATACTGGGCATGGTGTGGAGGACTTGGGGAAGTCTCCTGGGAAGGCTGAGAACTTCCCCTCCACAGGACGGGGGCCCTCTCTGGCCCCTGGAGACTCCAGGGGATGAAGCCCCTCCAGGGACAGACCTGACAGCCTCTCCAGCCTTTCTGCCCTCCGGCGGACCAGCCCTGACCTTTGTAGATGCACTAGAGTCTCTTGCTGCTGTGCCACACAGCAGGCCACCACCGGCCTCTCCTCCTCCAGACTCAGCCCCAGCAGCTCTGGGACAGGGAGAGGCTCAGAGACCCCTAAAAGCTTCCCTTCCTCACCCTCACCCTCCAGAATATCAGCCCTGTTCTCAGATGTCAGAGAGCAGGGGGAGTCCTGGGCATCAGGTAGAGGTGTAGAGGGCGGGGCAGCACAGTTGGCACAGTCACACAGAGGGCCACAGGGGTTCAGCAGGCTGGGGGAACAGGGTGTGTCGGGGGAGGTGGGTGGGAGAGGGAGCGTGGAACTGGGGACCTCCACAGAGACACTTGGCACACTGGGGAGGGGTGTGGGGTTAAGGCAGAGATCGGCGTCCTGGATCAGTGAATACACTCCATGGCTGGGCTTTTCATCTGATCGAGAGAGGGCTGAAGGCTTGACTGGATGAGCAGGTTTGGAAGGAGCAGTGTCCTAAACAGAGGGGAAACAAAAAGTCAGAAACAAAGAATAACCATTACTCTTTACTAGTTTAGTTATCTATTTACCATGAGCTACTACATATACATATGAATTGGTTGTATATTACAGAGACAGAAGACACCATAATGAAAACCGCTCCACACTTACATTGAGTCTGGACAGGGTATTAAAGTGGTTGTTATTGTTGGAGTTCTGGTTCAAGGTTACCAGGTCCAGCCCATTGCCCTCCTTCTCTCTCTCCTCTTCCTGAACCATCTCCACCTCTCCTTCCCCATCCCCTCGTCCTGGACTCCCCCCTCTTCCTCCAGGCTGTGCTAGTGCCTCCATCTCTGCCTCCTCTTTCTGCGCCTCCTCCTCATCCTCCTCCTCCACAGTGCTGAACTCCAGACGCAGGCGCAGCTCCTCCAGGGGCTCTGGTCCTCGGCAGCAAGTCTGGGCCGCTGTCCCCTCCCCAGCCAGACCAAAGTGGGGCAGCGGCAGGCCTTCTCGCCCCCCAAAGGCCTCGTCATCCAGCAGGGCATCCCGCTCCACGTCCTCTATCTCTATGAAGACCCGCTCCATGTCCAGGAGGGGCGGAGCGCGCACCGGCGTGGAGGGGTCACTGTCCAGGGCCGAGTCAGACAGCCTGCGAAAGTAGTAGTTGTTGTAGGCGGGGTCCACTTCCAGACTGATCATCCTGCAAGGGGAGAGGGGACGTGCCGCCCCCTTCTCCCCCAGAGCCTCCTCACAGCAGGGGGACATCCCCGGCTCAGGGGTCCGATTATCTGGGTCCTCCCTCCCACAGCACTGGGCCTGCTGGCCCTCAGGGAGGTCGCATTCTGGGTCGGGACGGTTGGGACGCCACAGCTTGTTGTGACGCTGCTTACTGGAAGTGGACAAAAAGGGGGTAAGGAGGAGCATGGGAGAAGTACTAAGATAATACACATAACATACAGTTATGAAAATGTATCCACTCACTAACTGTAAGTCGCTCTGGATAAGAGCGTCTGCTAAATGACTAAAATGTCAAATGTAATACAGCAAAATCTATAACCTAAGGCAGTATTCCAGTGCTTAGATCCCTTGTTGGGCTTCCCTAGATGATCTGGGCTATGGTAATTACAGAGGGTGTAGTGTGACTGTACCTGGCGTCCAGGATGCCTTCGTACTCAGCCAGCTGTCTCATGAAGCCTGCGTTGGGCCGTGTGATGCTTCTCTTCTGCTTGACAAAGTCGTAGGCCTTCTCCAGCGACCAACCATACTCCTTCATGGCGTAGGCAATAACGGTGGAGGCCGAGCGGCTGACGCCCATCTTACAGTGGACCAGACACTTGGAGTGGTTCTTCCTGGTAGGGTTAACACAACATGAATGCAGAGTAGTTAAGAGAATCAGACTAGAATAATCTGCCAGTTCTGTCACTGAGACAAATATTCTGTCTGAGGCAGAGATAATGACAGCCTTTGGGTTGCTAGTGGTAACCATCTTCAGCTCCCTTCTCTGGGACAACGTGGTCACAGACAGTGCCACACTGCCTCGTGTCACTTTAATTACACCCCAGTCAAATCACTCACAGTTCTCTGGAAGCTACTATTACTGTACCTCAAGTGAAAGCAGCAGGAAGATACATTTCCTACCATCGTGGTTCTGACCAAGAGCCACCTATCTACATGCATGAATAAAAATAGGATTTCACAGGTGTGTGTAATGGTAAAGAATAGCTTGTTTTATCAGCTCTGTTACTCCCAATCTCTGTCCTTCCCTCACTCTTACCTGTTTCAAGGCTAACAGGACTTACTTTGCTTTAACGATGAAGTTGTAGGTCTCATTCCAGTGGGCCAGCAGGTCTGTAGTCTCTTCGTCATAGACCCGTATGTTGTGGTAGGAGAATGTTCCTGGGAAGAAGTTATCTATCTCCCTGGTGACGTTGAGGATATAGCCCACCCTGGTGAGGAGATGGTTATTGGATGAAGACAGACAGACACTATCCCATAATATTCTGACTCACACCAATGACGAATCTGTTTTATAGAGTAGGGTTTTATCATGACAACCAATCTTATTCATTCAACCTTTGTGCCTAAAAAAAAAAAATAGTCCATTAAAGCGTTGGAGACATGAGCCGATAAATAATTATTTGTATGGAATTGAAATGTTTGGAAGCTAGCAAAATGATCCATTTACCCAGTGTCCTGAAGCTCCTCCAGATTGGAGGCATTCCATTCAGATCCCTGCAGACAAATGTGGAAAAATGTTAGACAGACTGAACATATTACAGTTATGACATTTACAGTGATGGCTGTCCAAATGTTGCTCTTCCAGAGTACTTCTCTGCTAGCAGTATCAGCCAAATATCATGGCTTCAGTAGGCCAAATCTCACGGAGACAAATAGATCATCCTATCTCAGCCAATGAGAAAAACTCGGAAATGTACTCGATCAATCAGATTAAGCAGAGTTTGAGTAGCCCGATTGCCAGTCTGTTTGTGCTTCTTGTCCCTCGTTGTCATGCCAATGATAACAACAGAGTTTGCAAGAACACAAACAGATCTGGGAACAGGCCAGGGTTTGAGCATTGCCAAGCAGTTCTGGATGGGGAAATGTTGCCAGGTGACTAACCAGGTAGAGGTGGTCAAAGATGAGTGCTGCCTTGTCCATCTGGCCCAGGATCAGCAGCATCTCATTGTCAATGAACTCCTTGTACTGCATCAGGTTACAGCTCATATGCTGCTCCAGCTCCGTTCGGATCTGAGGGCACAGCACAGTCATCAACTTCCAACCATTTTATATTCTACCCTTTCTCCTTGTAATGTTACTGATTACGGTATCAAATAATGTCAGACCGAAATTGACTGAAGACTACACTTTAAGGCTGTAATAAAAATATATTTGTTTTTAATACTGCATCCCAAATGGCACCCTATTCAGTGGGCCCTGGTCAAAAGTAGCGCACTATAAAGGGATGGCACGCAGTTAATGTGTGCATTTAGTTCACTCTGTTCACCTGTTTAGAGGTGACGTTCTCCAGATCCTGGAACATCATGATGCTTCGGAGTTTGGCTTTGATAAGGCACTCGGTCCGCTCCCTCTCTGTGGGCCTGCATCAGCAGAGACAAACACACAGAGGTTTCATCAGCACACTACTCTACTCTCAGTCAAAGGGTCAGTCAGAACCAGCAGCCATCCAACACCATCAAACGTTTCATATACACTATATATACAAAAGTATGTGGACACCCCTTCAAATTAGTGGATTCAGCTATTTCAGCCACACCCGTTACTGACAGGTGTATAAAATCGAGCACACAGCCATGCAATCTCCATAGACAAACATTGGCAGTAGAATGGCCTTACTGAAGAGCTCAGTGACTTTCAATGTGGCACTGTCATAGGATGCCACCTTTCCAACAAGTCAATTTGTCCAATTTCTGCCCTGCTAGAGCTGCCCCGGTCAACTGTAAGTGCTGTTATTGTGAAGTGGAAACGTCTAGGAGCAACAACGGCTCAGCCATGAAGTGGTAGGCCACACACAGAACGGGACCGCCGAGTGCTGAAGCGCGTAAAAATCGTCTGTCCTCGTTTGCAACACTCACTACCGAGTTCCAAACTGCCTCTGGAAGCAACATCAGCACAATAACTTTTCTTTGGGAGCTTCATGAAATGGGTTTCCATGGCCAAGCAGCCGCACACAAGCCTAAGATCACCATTCGCAATGCCAAGCGTTGGCTGGAGTGGTGTAAAGCTCGCCGCCATTGGACTCTGGAGCAGTGGAAACGCGTTCTCTCACACTTCACCATCTGGCAGTCCGACGGACTAATCTGGGGTTTGGCGGATGCCAGGAGAACGCTACCTGCCTCAATGCATAATGTCAACTGTAAAGTTTGGTGGAGGAATAATGGTCTGGGGCTGTTTTTCATGGTTCGGGCTAGGCCCCTTAGTTCCAGTGAAGGGAAGTCTTAACGCTACAGCATACAATGACATTGTAGTGCTTCTGTGCTTCCAACTTTGTGGCAACAGTTTGGGTAAGGCCCTTTCCTGTTTCAGCATGACAATGCCCCTGTGCACAAAGCGAGGTCCATACAGAAAAGGTTTGTCGAGATCGGTGTGGAAGAACTAGACTGGCCTGCACAGAGCCCTGACCTCAACCCCATCGAACACCTTTGGGATGAATTGGAATGCCGACTGTGAGCCAGGCCTAATCGGCCAACATCAGTGCCCGACCTCAATAATGCTTGTGGCTGAATGGAAGCAAGTCCCCGCAGCAATGTTCCAAGGTCTAGTGGAAAACCTTCCCAGAAGATTGGAGGCTGTTATAGCAGCAAAAGGGGGACCAACTCCATATTAATGCCAATAATTTTAGAATGAGATGTTTGACGAGGAGGTAGTTATTTCATATTCATTGGCAATTTCTGTTGACTCACTTGTCGACAAACATGGTGGGGGAGTCAGGCCTCAAGGTCTCCAGGTCTCTCATGGCGTTCCACTCGTTGATGCAGCTCTGCTCCGAGGCGATGCAGCCCTCATAAAAGCCCATCCAGGTAAGGGCCATGCCCCCGGGGAAGTAGTTGTACCTGCGGGACACCTCACACACCTTGTGGAGGATCTGTAGAGCCGACCTGGGACAAGGGTTAGAAAGAGACAGAGTTGGTCAATTTATCTTTAATCAACCATCATTGTTAATCTGGGAGAAATGTGGTGAAGTGTTTTCTACCTATACGCTTTTAATGTGTATTGAGCTGATTCACATGAATGAATGGCATGCATTTAAGCTGGGTATCTGTAAAGCACTTTGTGACAACTAAAATACATTTGATTGATTGTTGCATGCACCTGCATCTCTACACCACTAGGTGGCAAAGTGAGTCAGTATGGAAATGCCTCAACAGTGTGTTCTGTTATGAAGTCAGCAGCTAATTCATTGATGTGGGATTGCTTCATTAACAACAATGTATTAAGCAGTCATTCCTAGGGTTGTCTACTCACCACATGGCCTGTACAGACACAGGTTTGAAGACATGATTCCGGCTCACTGTGTTCACACTGAAACCCCTGAAGGAGACAAGACAGGCGATGACTCTCCCCTGATCACACACTGATTAACACCCAGTAACCACTACTACAACATAACTGGCTCTATCAAAACACAAGTGGAGGTCAAAGTCATTTTAGTACATTAGGCTGTGTGAAAGGAGAAGATGATATGTGTGCTGAGCTCAGTATCCTTTTCTGTACCGGTATTCAAGTTATAGGGCCTCCTGTAGCTCAGTTGGTAGAGCATGGCGCTTGCAACGCCAGGGTTGTTGGTAGAGCATGGCGCTTGCAACACCAGGGTTGTGGGTTCGATTCCCACGGGGGGCCAGTATGAAAAATGTATGCACTCACTAACTGTAAGTCGCTCTGGATAAGAGCGTCTGCTAAATTACTGAAATGTAAATGTATTACAGTTTTAACCAAAGAGCTGTTTCTTCCCCTGAATGGCCAGCAGGGGGCTGCTGTCTGACTGATGGGACACAGATATAGAATACTTGTATCTCTATGGGGGACTCACTCACCCATCGCCATCCAGATGGATCTTGGTGTCACTCCACAGAGGTAGCACCATGCCAACGGAGCAGCTTTTGCTGGGAACAACACACAGACACGTTCCCAGCAGATCAACACAACATCTGGTTTTACGTTCCAAAACAACTTCAAATGGAGATACTGCTACATCAAGGGTCTAACATCTGCATCAATGATGACCATAGCAAGTGAGGAGGCCCAAACACGCGAGCTGGCCCAGACCCATACACACCTGTCCTTGTTGCTGAAGTCTATTCCTAGCAGGATGTTCTCCTCTGTGTCCTGTCGTCCGCTGGTGTACACCACCACCATGTAGCGCACTCTGTCTGACCAGGCACTCTCCAACCGCACTGCCTGTTCCAGAGGACATGACAGGTTCATCAATTATTTCACAAACAACTAGGCTGCTACATGTCCATCCACCTCTCCCAACATGTCAATCTGCTAAGGTAATACAAATTGACTCTGAACATTGATGGTACACACAGACTGACCCTGGGCAAATGAGCCTAACACCCATACAGTCCAACCATTACACACACACACGTACATTCCAATCCTCTAAAGCAATTTCTATCATTCAAAAACAGTTTGTAAATACATGGGAGGCATCATTCCAATGGAGTGTGAGAACATAGTGGTAGGTAACATAAACTAACTCTCCATTTCACAGAAACCATGGAAACACTTGGTAATGCTCTCCTGTGCGCGCTCAAACATGTTCTCATGAGCTAATAATTACAGTTTGCAAACAAGTCTTAAGTACACAATAAAAAGTATTCAGGCAGGTTGCCTATGTCATGGTGCCAGGTGGTTAGTCACTGCACGTGCGTGCGTGCGTCTCTTACCAGTTTGATTCGGTCCTCCGAGCGAAGAATGTTGATCATCACCTGCAGGTGCTGAGGTAAGTCTCCTGTTGAGAGAAGAACATAAAACATAAATACTAAACAACAACCATGACAACACCTGGTCGGTCAGTGTCATTATCAGATACGTTGGTTTTATGTGATTAGTCCTATAAAACAAATCTTGACATTTGAAACTGAACACTCATCATACCACATGACATCTTAAATGTACTCCATTGTTGAGTGATTGAGTAAGTGCAGGCACAATGGGCTAGTGTCATGCAACAAGCCAAAGACGCTTTCCTGCTTGTCATCTACAAATTGATCACCCACAACTCAGCCTCAGCTAACCATAAAACCACACCTAAAAACCGCTTCTGCTCTGTCATATTGGAATGTTTTGAGCCGATCATGCCAGACTAGATGCAAGTTCCCCTGAGGAAGTGGGGTGAGAGAAAGGTTACGTACCAAATAGCACCGCATTCCATATATAGTGCACTACATTTAACCAGAGCCCAATGGGCCCTGGTCAAAAGTAGTGCACTAAATAGGGCTTAGGGAGACATTTGGGACGCAGAGAGCCAAAGAGGGGGCTACTGGATAACAAGGGGTTAAATGACAAGCCTAACCACTGCAGTGATGATGAGTAAAGAGGGGCAGCCAAGTATGTGTCAGTCAAGGTGTTCCGACAACTGGCAAACAAACTATGTCCTCTCCTCCTGGGCAGCTTTAATTACAGCTGTCTGCGCCATGCTGGCTCTGGGCATGTTCCCCTGCTCCTCTGCTTCATGGTACGTTCAAACACATATTAAAGACACGTTCAGACATATATTAATTTACATGTATTAGTAGGTTAGTACTTTACTTTGCAACTGTTCTGGGTCAAAACAGCCAGGGGCTATTGGAGTTCTCCTCAGCTCAGCCAAGTTCAGATGCTCAGTCTTACTGTTAGATCTAGAAACAAATCTACTGAGACAAATGCTAATCTCTGTATTTGGTTTGGTTGAGGCCAAATTCAGTTGACATGCAGGCATCTTTCTTTATGTGCTGGCAGTTCTGCAAGTTTTTCACTAGGCAGTGTTTTCATTAGATATCTCCCGCCACTGTTACAGCTTTGACAAAATATTGTGGCCAGGCAAGATTGTGGCCAACAATGGTTATTTACTCAGACAGAAGGGACTGCACAGTGTGGATCAGAAATCAGTCAGCTCACAACCGGAGGGCACCGCTAAGTATTCTAACTACAATACGGCACAATGTTCACTAGCAGCGGGCTACAGGCCAATACGTTGCCCAAAGGCCAAGCTTTAGAGATTATCCTATTTGAAAACATTCTGTCCCACAGCAAAGACCCTAAATAAAACTGGCCAATGAACTTTCCACAGGCAGTACTTCCTCTATAAGAAACACATGACTGCATCCTCCAGTAACTCCCTACCAACGCAAACACTTCATGTGGGCTAGCAGCCAATCCTGAATGTCCTGAAGTTTAGTCAATTCACTTGGTGACGCAAACCATTCCAAATTCCTATTGAATTCACTTAAACATGGGGAATGAGAAATGAATTGGACTCAAATTAGGAAATTAAAGGCTCAGAGTAAAACTTGAACAACTGTTAGTAAAGGGGAGAAAAACATATCCATGGTTCTCTGTGATATTGAGAGTGCATGCTAAGCTCTCCCTAGCAGCTGCAGGATCTTGTTTTTAACCAATTAAAACCTTTGCCTCAGAATCACACCTGAAATATCATCCTTAACATTATGGCTAAACACTAAAACCTCTTATACCCTTTTTATTCTAGGACCTATATATGGTATACCATATGGATTTCATGACGTTGAAGCTTTGAACAGACTCTCGGATACATGACTACAACATTGATGACTGCCAGAAGACAAACGCTCAGTGTCCTGCTTTGATTGATACGGAACACAAGTAGGCCTGCCACTGAACACTACCAGCAGCCACATAGCCTATTGTAGGCCTACTTAACCACTAATCTGCCTAAGCTACACACGTCTGGAACATGCTAATAATCAGCCAGACACCTCAACTCAAGTGCACTCATGTTTTCCAGGAGAACAGGTAGAAAGTAGAGACCCATCAGACTACACAACAAAGTACCAGACAAAACAACCACAACAACACTGTCTGTAAGATGGACAGAGTAATGAAGTCAAAAAGTCTGAGTCTTGGGACCATTTAGCCACTTTGAATGGCAGCTCATGTGGTCCTGTCCTGTGGTTGTGTGGTAGGTACTCACCTGCATGTTTGTGGTGGGGTTGTGCTTTATGGCCCTGAGGACTGCTGCCCTGCTGCAGGAAGAGGGCGGCACCCTTCACCATGAAGAAACTCTCACTCAGGCTAGAAAAACAACAGATGGAGAGAGCCGTTAGAAACTGGATCATGCAACAATGTGGGCAGACTGAGCCACATGGTCACTCACAGTTCAGCACTGTGATATGTGAGTCAAACTGTTCTAATTCTATAACAGAATCCTTGCACCTTCTACAGCCCTATGTTACAGAGAAAGTGAAGATAGGGAGAGAAGGTAAGTCGTACCTGGGACCAGACAGATAAGAGAAGTGTTTAATATAGGGCTTCAGGTCAGGAGGCCCAGACAAGCACCCAGTATTTCAGCCACTAAACCCAATTGTAAAAGTCCAGGAGTAAGCCAAGTTTAAGAGGGAGCCGGAGCCTCAACCTACAGCAGCTATGAATCAAGCTTATCTGGCCTTTTCCCCTGTCCTGCATAAGCTGCTGCATCCTGATGGGATCCGTCAGGTCTCTGCTGGCCCGGCCAAATGCAAAACAGACTGAATAATTAGCTGCAGTAGTTTGTAATGCATTCCTCTGAGCTACACACGCCATTTAAAAGTCTCACCTGTCTACACTATTATGTCCAACCTCTCGTTGGGTTCCTGTGCATTCTGCAGGTGACATAACTAATATGGCATGGTGGTGGTGAAAGACAAAGTGAGGGCTGAAGCTGTTTTCTATGCTAGCTCCAATTATTCCCTTTCACTGTGCTTACAGAATGAGTCTCTCTCCAGGCTCGTAAATCCACCTGACAGCAGGGCGGAACACATACCCAATGTACCCTGTATGTGCAGTCTAGCAAACAGGCATGTCATTGGAAAGTACAGGTGTGATGAGAGCGACAGGAACAAAACAAACAGGAAAACTAGACAACACCAGAGCCGGCGCATGTTAAATTTCAGGTAAGACAATAACGTCATCCGAGCAACCCATGGCAAAAATTCTGGCTTAAAAGGGAGTTAAGCCTAAACATTCAGGGGTCACATATCTCAGCCCAGTAAGGGTCAAGAACCATCCCTGAGTCCTTCCACCACCCCCCTCCCCAATTGTCTGTCCCTGACTGGACTTCCTGTTTCCAGGCTAGAGGAGGAGGAGGCCTGGCCCAAGCATTCGATAACACCGAAACAGGCTCTGCTTTGTGCCCCCCACCCCCACCACAGAGACAGCGTTCCCCAGTGACGGGCCCATAGGAGTGGCCGGCCGCTAATCACAAGAGCTTTTGTTTCACTTTGGCTTGTTGTTTCTCTCCTCCCTGTTGGGTCATTCCACCCTCAAGAAAGAGGGTTTTGACACCCACCATCTCAGATTGTTCTGAAATCGTTTCTGTTGTTAGAAACAGATAGCATTAGCATTCCTGCAACATTATTTTGTTGAAATATAATTTGCTCTCTGAGGAATTCATCTAATTGATTGCACCCATATCGGCCATTTTAATTTATAGGATTCATATAATATTCAATAAATATAGTACCTAACAACCGATTTGGACCAAACTTTTATCAAACAATGAGTTAGACATGACGAACCCAAACAAATGGTCAAAAGCCACCCACGAATCCCCCACACCCCATGCCAATCCCACCCCAACAACGAGTATATAGTATCAGTTCTGACAAGTAGTATGGAGCAGCTGCGGCTCAGAGTATTGTTTCGGAGTATTGTTTCTTCATCCTATGTAATGTATTACCAGTGAATTTGGGGTTGTTTTTTCCCCCTGTTCAGAGAAATTAGTCATTGACATTGATAGGTTTATGTCCCATCCTAACAGGGGAAGAGAAAAAAATTAATCACAAAATTCACTGGGAATACATTACATAGGATGAAGAAACAATACTCCGAGCTGCAGCTCCATACTACTTGTCAGACATGGAAAACTGATACTATATACACTACCGTTCAAAAGTTTGGGGTCACTTAGAAATGTCCTTGTTTTCGAAAGAAAGGCACATTTTTTGTCCATTAAAATATCAAATTGATCAGAAATACAGTGTAGACATTGTTAATGTTGTAAATGGCTATTGTAGTTGGAAACGGCTGATTTTTACATCGGCGTACAAAGGCCCATTATCAGCAACCATTAGTCCTGTGTTCCAATGGCACATTGTGTTTGCTAATCCAAGTTTGTCATTTTAAAAGGCTAATTGATCATTAGAAAACCATTTTGCAATTCTGTTAGCACAGCTGAAAACTGTTGTGCTGATTAAAGAAGCAATAAAACTGGCCTTCTTGAGACTAGTTGAGTATCTGGAACATCAGCAATTGTGGGTTCGATTACAGGCTCAAAATGGTCAGAAACAAATAACTTTCTTCTGAAACTCTTCAGTCTATTCTTGTTCTGAGAAATTAAGGCTATTCCATGCGAGAAAGCCATATCTCAGACTGCCCTTCTTAATAGTTTCTTTTTATTGGCCAGTCTGAGATATATGTATTTTTCTTTGCAACTCTGCCTACAAGGTCAGCATCCCGGAGTCACCTCTTCACTGTTGACGTTGAGACTGGTGTTTTGCGGGTACTATTTAATGAAGCTGCCAGTTTAGGACCTGTGAAGCGCCTGTTTCACAAACTAGACACTAATGTATTTGTCATCTTGCTCAGTTGTGCACCGGGGCCTCCCATTCCTCTTTCTATTCTGGTTAGAGCCAGTTTGTGCTGTTCTGTGAAGGGAGTAGTTCAAAGCGTTGTACGAGATCTTCAGTTTCTTGGCAATTTCTCGCATGGAATAGCCTTCATTTCTCAGAACAAGAATAGACTGAAGAGTTTCAGAAGAAAGTTATTTGTTTCTGGCCATTTATAGCCTGTAATCAAACCCACAATTGCTGATGCTCCAGATACTCAACTAGTCTCAAGAAGGCCAGTTTTATTGCTTCTTTAATCAGCACAACAGTTTTCAGCTGTGCTAACATAATTGCAAAAGGGTTTTCTAATGATCAATTAGCCTTTTTAAATGATAAACTTGGATTAGCAAACACAACGTGCCATTGGAACACAGGACTGATGGTTGCGGATAATGGGCCTCTGTATGCCTATGTAGATATTCCATTAAAAATCAGCCGTTTCCAGCTACAATAGCCATTTACAACATTAACCATGTCTACACTGTATTTCTGATCAATTTGATGTTATTTTAAGGGACAAAAAAATTGCTTTTCTTTCGAAAACAAGGACATTTCTAAATGACCCCAAACTTTTGAACGGTAGTGTACTTGTTCTTGGGGTGGGATTTGCGTGGGGTACGGGGGGTCCGTGTGTGGCTTTTGACCATTTCTTTGGATTCCTCATCCAGAATCAAGAGCCTGTCTTTCCAGTCCTAGAAGAATAGGTACTCCAAGGGATCATTGAGGCTATTTGGCAAGTCTCTGTTCTTGGGGTGGGATTAGCGTGGGGTCCGTGTGTGGCTTTTGGCCATTTATTTGGATTCCTCATGTCTTACTCATTGTTTGAAAAAAGTTAGATCCAAATCGGATGTTAGGAACTATATTTATTGAATATTATATGAATTTTATCAATTAAAATTGACAATTTGGATGTAATAAATTAGCTTAATTTCTATGAGATCAAATTATATTTCAACAAAATGTTGCAGGAATGCTAATCTTATCCGTTTCTAACTATAGAAAATATTTCAGAACAATCTGACTGAAATACCACATTTACATAAGTGTTCAGACCCTTTACTTAGTACTTTGTTCAAGCACCTTTGGCATCGATTACAGCCTCGATTCTTCTTGGGTATGACACTACAAGCTTGGCACACCTGTATTTTGGGAGTTTCTCGTCTTCAGCTCTATCAGGTTGGATGGGGAGCGTTGCTGCACAGCTATTTTCAGGTCTCTCCAGAGATGTTAGATCGGGTTCAAGTCCAGGCTCTGGCTGGGCAACTCAAGGACATTCAGAAACTTGTCCCGAAGCCAGTCCTGTGTTGTCTTGGCTGTGTGCTTAGGGTCGTTGTCCTGTTGGAAGGTGAACCTTCGCCCCAGTCTGAGGTCCTGAGCACTCTGTAGCAGTTTTTCATTAAGGATCTCTGTACTTTGCTCCGTTCTTCTTTCCCTCGATCCTGACTAGTCTCCCAGTCCCTGCCGCTGAAAAACATCCCCACAGCATGATGCTGCCACCACCATGTTTCACCGTAGGGATGGTGCCAGGTTTCATCCAGACGTGACGCTTGGCATTCAGGCCAAAGAGTTCAATCTTGGTTTCATCAGACCAGAGAATCTTGTTGTTTCCTTTAGGTGCCTTTTGGCATACTCCAAGCGGGCTGTCATGTGCCTTTTACTGAAGAGTCGCTTACGACTGTCCACTCTACCATAAAGGCCTGATTGATGGAGTGCTGTGGAGAAGGTTCTCCCATCTCCACAGAGGAACTCTGGAGCTCTGTCAGAGTGATCATCAGGTTCTTGGTCACCTCCTTGACCAAGGCCTTCTCCCCCGATTGCGCCGTTTGGGCGGGCAGCCAGCTCTATGAAGAGTCTTGGTGGTTCCAAACTTCTTCCATTTAAGAATGATGGAGGCCACTGTGTTCTTGGCGACCTCCAATGCTGCAGAAATGTTTTGGTACCCTTCCCCAGATCTGTGCCTCGACACAATCCTGTCTCGGAGCCCTACGGACAATTCCTTCGACCTCATGGCTTGGTTTTTGCTCTGACAAGCACTGTCAACTGTGGGCTATAGACAGGTGTGTGCCTTTCCAAATCATGTCCAATCAATTGAATTTACCACAGGTGGACTCCAAATCAAGTTGTAGAAACATCTCAAGGATGATCAATGGAAAGGATGGACCTGAGCACAATTTCGAGTCCCATAGAAAAGGGTCTGAATACTTATGTAAATAAGGTATTTCTGTTTTTTCTTTTTAATACATTTGCCAAAATGTCTAAAAACCTGTTTTCGCTTTGTCATTATGGGGTATTGTGTGTAGATTGATGAGGAAAACATTTAATTTAATCAATTTTAGAATAAGGCTGTAACATAACAAAATATGGAAAAAGTAAACGGTCTGAATACTTTCCGAACGCACTGTACACTGCTGTATGATCAATTGAAATAGGCTGCATGAGTAAAACACAGTGAGAAACCACAGTGAGAAACCACAGTGAGAAACCGGAGGATGTGTTGAACGTGAATCTTTCTCTCCGGTCATGTAAATCACCAGCCCCACGTCCACCACCATGAACCACACTCAGACAGTCTAATTAACTAGCCTCTGCTCTGGTGTCTCCGAGCCTCCAGCACCCTGCTATCAGCCTCTCCACTAACACCAGGGCTAAAATTATATCTGCTATCACAGCTAACAAAGACAGCAACACAGAGACTTGCCAAATAGCCTCAATGATCTCTTGGAGTACCTATTCTTCTAGGACAGGAAATACCGGTTCTTGATTCTGAATGAGCAGAATTCATACAATCACCAATGTATGACTACTATTAGTATCAGGCTTGTAATGTGCATGAACTTGATCGGACCAGTATTAATTTGGGACCCCAATTTTTTTGAGTGTCACATTTAGTCACATTTTTGTCATTTGAATAATGATTTAGTCTAGTTAGTGTCAAAATGACGAAAAGAGTGGGCCATTTTAGTCAACTAAATGCCCTTTCATTTTAGTCATATCACATTTGTATTGGCTTCTTAACTTATAAACGTAAAAGCCTTGGTTTCTTGCACGTTAATATCCGAAGCCTCCTTCCTAAGTTTGAGTTATTCACTGCGCTAGCACACTCCGCCAACCCTGATGTTCTAGCAGTGTCTGAATCCTGGCTTAGGAAGGCCACCAAAAATTCAGAAATGTCCATCCCCAACTACAACATTTTCAGTCTCGATAGAACTGCCAAAGGGGGGTGGGGTTGCAATCTACTGTAGAGATAGCCTGCAGAGCTCTATCGTACTATCCAAGTCTGTGCCCAAACAGTTTGAGCTTCTACTGCTAAAAATCCACCTTTCCAGAAATAAGTCTTTCACTGTTGCCGCTTGCTACAGACCCCCCTCAGCCCCGAGCTGTGCCCTGGACACCATATGTGAACTGATTGCCCCCCATCTATCCTCAGAGTTCGTACTGCTTGATGACCTAAACTGGGATATGCTTAACACCCCGGCCAACCTACAATCTAAACTAGATGCCCTCAATCTCACACAAATTATCAACGAACCTACCAGGTACAACCCTAAATCTGTAAACATGGGCACCCTCATAGATATCATCCTGACAAATGTACCCTCTAAATACACCTCCGCTGTCTTCAACCAGGATCTCAGCAATCACTGCCTTATTGCCTGCGTCCGTAATGGGTCTGCGATCAAACGACCACCCCTCATCACTGTCAAACGCTCCCTAAAACACTTCATCGAGCAGGCCTTTCTAATTGACCTGGCCCGGGTATCCTGGATGGATATTGACCTCATTCCGTCAGTAGAGGATGCCTGGTTGTCCTTTAAAAGTGCTTTCCTCTCAATCTTAAATAAGCATGCCCCATTCAAAAAATGTAGAACTAAGAACAGATCTAGCCCCTGGTTCTCCTCAGACTTGACTTCCCTTGACCAGCACAAAAACATCCTGTGGCGTACTGCATTAGCATCGAACAGCCCCCGCGATATGCAACTTTTTAGGGAAGTCAGGAACCAATTTATACAATCAGTTAGGAAAGCAAAGGCTAGCTTTTTCAAACAGAAATTTGCATCCTGTAGCACTAACTCCAAAAAGTTTTGGGACACTGTAAAGTCCATGGAAAATAAGAGCACCTCCTCCCAACTGCCCACTGCACTGAGGCTAGGAAACACTGTCACCACCGATAAATCTACAATAATCGAGAATTTCAACAAGCATTTTGCTACGGCTGGCCATGCTTTCCACCTGGCTACCACTACCCTGGCCACCAGCTCTGCACCCTCCGCTGCAACTTGCCCATGCCCCCCCCGCTTCTCCTTCACACAAATTCAGACAGCTGATGTTCTGAAAGAGCTAAAAAATCTGGACCCCTACAAATCAGCTGGGCTAGACAATCTGGACCCTTTCTTTTTTAAATTAGCCACCGAAATTGTCGCAACCCCTATTACTAGCCTGTTCAACCTCGCTTTCGTAACGTCTGAGATCCCCAGAGATTGGAAAGCTGCCGCGGTCATCCCCCTCTTCAAAGGGGGTGACACTCTAGATCCTAACTGTTATAGACCTATATCCATCCTGCCCTGCCTTTCGAAAGTATTTGAAAGCCAAGTTAACAAACAGATCACCGACCATTTCGAATCCCACCGTACCTTCTCCGCTATGCAATCCGGTTTCCGAGCTGGTCATGGGTGCAATTCAGCCACGCTCAAGGTCCTAAACTATATTATAAACGCGATCGATAAAAGACAGTACTGTGCAGCCGTCTTCATCGACCTGGCCAAGGCTTTCGACTCTGTCAACCACCGCATTCTTATTGGCAGACTAAATAGCCTTGGTTTCTCTAATGACTGCCTCGCCTGGTTCACCAACTACTTCTCAGATAGAGTTCAATGTGTCAAATCGGAGGGCCTGTTGTCTGGACCTCTGGCCGTCTCTATGGGCGTGCCACAGGGTTCAATTCTCGGGCCGACTCTATTCTCTGTGTATATCAATGATGTCGCTCTTGCTGCTGGTGACGCTCGGATCCACTTCTATGCGGACGACACCATTTTGTATACATCTGGCCCTTCATTGGACACTGTGTTAAAAAACCTCCAAACGAGCTTCAACGCCATACAACACTCCTTCCGTAGCCTCCAACTGCTCTTAAACACTAGTAAAACTAAATGCATGCACTTCAACCGAACGCTGCTTGCACCCGCCCACCCGACTAGAATCACTACTCTCGGAGGGTCTGACCTAGAGTATGTGGACAACTACAAATACCTAGGTGTCTGGTTAGACTGTAAACTCTCCTTCCAGACTCACATTAAGCATCTCCAATCAAAAGTTAGATCTAGAATCGGCTTCCTATTTCAAAACAAAGCCTCCTTCACTCATGCTGCCAAACATGCCCTCGTAAATCTGACTATCCTACCGATCCTTGACTTCGTCGATGTCATTTACAAAATAGCCTCCAACACCCTACTCAGCAAATTGGATGTAGTCTATCACAGTGCCATCCGTTTTGTCACCCAAAGCCCCATATACTACCCACCATTGTGACCTGTACGCTCTTGTTGGCTGGCCCTCACTACATATTCGTCGCCAAACCCACTGGCTCCAGGTCATCTATAAATCACTGCTAGGCAAATCCCCATCTTATCTTAGCTCACTGGTCACCATAGCAACACCCACCCGTAGTCTGCACTCCAGCAGGTATATCTCACTGGTCATCTCCAAAGCCAACACCTCCTTTGGCCGCCATTCCTTCCAGTTCTCTGCTGCCAATGACTGGAACGAACTGCAAAAATCTCTGAAACTGGAGACTCTTATCTCCCTCACTAACTTTAAGCGTCAGTTGTCAGAGCAGCTTACCGATCACTGCACCTGTACACAACCTTTCTGAAATTAGCCCACCCAACTACCTCATCCCCATATTGTTATTTATTTTGCTAATTTGCACCCCATTATCTCTATTCGCACATCATCTTTTGCACATCTATCATTCCAGTGTTAATACGAAATTGTAACTATTTTGCACTATGGCCTATTTATTGCCTTACCTCCATAACTTACTACATTCACACACACTGTATACAGTGGGGGGAAAAAGTATTTAGTCAGCCACCAATTGTGCATGTTCTCCCACTTAAAAATATGAGAGAGGCCTGTAATTTTCATCATAGGTACACGGCAAATATGACAGACAAAATGAGGGAAAAAAATCCAGAAAATCACATTGTAGGATTTTTTATGAATTTATTTGCAAAATATGGTGGAAAATAAGTATTTGGTCAATAACAAAAGTTTCTCAATACTTTGTTATATACCCTTTGTTGGCAATGACACAGGTCAAACTTTTTCTGTAAGTCTTCACAAGGTTTTCACACACTGTTGCTGGTATTTTGGCCCATTCCTCCATGCAGATCTCCTCTAGAGCAGTGATGTTTTGGGGCTGTCGCTGGGCAACACGGACTTTCAACTCCCTCCAAAGATTTTCTATGGGGTTGAGACCTGGGGACTGGCTAGGCCACTCCAGGACCTTGAAATGCTTCTTACGAAGCCACTCCTTCGTTGCCCGGGCGGTGTGTTTGGGATCATTGTCATGCTGAAAGACCCAGCCACGTTTCATCTTCAATGCCCTTGCTGATGGAAGGAGGTTTTCACTCAAAATCTCACGATACATGGCCCCATTCATTCTTTCCTTTACACGGATCAGTCGTCCTGGTCCCTTTGCAGAAAAACAGCCCTAAAGCATGATGTTTCCACCCCCATGCTTCACAGTAGGTATGGTGTTCTTTGGATGCAACTCAGCATTCTTTGTCCTCCAAACACGACGAGTTGAGTTTTTACCAAAAAGTTCTATTTTGGTTTCATCTGACCATATGACATTCTCCCAATCCTCTTCTGGATCATCCAAATGCACTCTAGCAAACTTCAGACGGGCCTGGACATAAGCAGGGGGACACGTCTGGCACTGCAGGATTTGAGTCCCTGGCGGCGTAGTGTGTTACTGATGGTAGGCTTTGTTACTTTGGTCCCAGCTCTCTGAAGGTCATTCACTAGGACCCCCGTGTGGTTCTGGGATTTTTGCTCACCATTCTTGTGATCATTTTGACCCCACGGGGTGAGATCTTGCGTGGAGCCCCAGATCGAGGGAGATTATCAGTGGTCTTGTATGTCTTCCATTTCCTAATAATTGCTCCCACAGTTGATTTCTTCAAACCAAGCTGCTTACCTATTGCAGATTCAGTCTTCCCAGCCTGGTGCAGGTCTACAATTTTGTGTCTGGTGTCCTTTGACAGCTCTTTGGTCTTGGCCATAGTGGAGTTTGGAGTGTGACTGTTTGAGGTTGTGGACAGGTGTCTTTTATACTGATAACAAGTTCAAACAGGTGCCATTAATACAGGTAACGAGTGGAGGACAGAGGAGCCTCTTAAAGAAGAAGTTACAGGTCTGTGAGAGCCAGAAATCTTGCTTGTTTGTAGGTGACCAAATACTTATTTTCCACCATAATTTGCAAATAAATTCATTAAAAATCCTACAATGTGATTTTCTGGATTTTTTTTCTCAATTTGTCTGTCATAGTTGACGTGTACCTATGATGAAAATTACAGGCCTCTCTCATCTTTTTAAGTGGGAGAACTTGCACAATTGGTGGCTGACTAAATACTTTTTTTCCCCACTGTATATATTTTCTGTTGTATTTTTGACTTTATGTTTTGTTTACCCCATATGTAACTCTGTGTTGTTGTTGTTTTTATCACACTGCTTTGCTTTATCTTGGCCAGGTCGCAGTTGTAAATGAGAACTTGTTCTCAACTGGCCTACCTGGTTAAATAAAGGTGAAATAAAAAATAAAAATAAAATATAGTAAAGCTAAATCTTCCATGTGCACAAACATACATAGCCTTGTCCTACCAACATATTTTTCTGCATAACATCCTATTCTCTTCCCAACAGTGGAAATATGACAAACATAAGAATAATATTACATTATATAAGAATTATCTGGCCATGTAAATTCCTAATTCAGCATACATAGATATTGCACATTACATACAAAACAAACAGACACACACAAGCGCAGAGAGAGCGAGAGAGAGAGAGAGTAGCACAATCACAAGATGGTGCCGCAAAGTAGGCTATTGGCAAAGTAGTATGGGTTGCACACCTCCATCACACCGTCAAGTCATTGCCATTGTTATCAACGTTCCACAGACGCCAGAGCCACATTGATGTCCAAAAGTAGAACGGGGGCTAATGACTGTTTCACCCAATGATGTAGTCGAGTCACTAAACCTTGAGTCCGAATCGAGTCCCAAGTCTCCTGTGCTCAAAATAAAGTTATTTACCCAGTCATATATAGCATAGTGGCAAGAGGAATTTTGTCAATAAATGGTCTGCTCTCTCTTTCCTTTTTTTCTGTGCCACCAAATGTTTGCATATAGGCTACCAGGGCCACGTTCAGTTGAAAAATTCATTGCAGATAGAAATTCCATGAATAGAGCAGACTTTATTCCTTATTCAACATGTAAGAGGCATGTTCGTTCTACATAGCATATTTCTATCTGAACGTTCCAAAACGTTGCATCCTGTTGTATGCACCCCAAGTTGTTAGCTATAGCTAGCTAATGAGGCAACATGACTGAACAAGGCGTAGCCTAAACAAATGATTAACCGTCCAGTCCGCAAGTAGCCATTATTTTTTGAACAGCCCGCGATATGCTTTATGAATGTAAAATGCAGCCCACCAATGCACAATATAAATAAATAAACGTAGCGGGTCATGGGTCATGTCTTTTTAACGTTAGCTAGAATCAAACTGTTTTTTTCTGAGGAAAAGGTGGAGACTAGGCTACAGAACCTGTATATGAAATGCAGTGGAAAAAGTAGGATGGTTGATCGAGACTACAAATTCAAAGACAGACTACTTTTCTATAGCCTACTCAAGGGAGAGAAAAACTGCAATTTTTACTATTAAACTCAATGCTGTTTTTTATTTCGTAAAGCAGCTTGTGTAGCTACTAGAAGGCTGGTGGTGTCTGGTTAGCTAAAGTGAAGCATGTGCGGTGTGTATAAATCGGAGCGGAGCCCGTCTACCCACACACATTGCTTGCTCCCCACAGCTCACCAGTTGATGTAGGCTGTGTTTGTCGGGTGTGATGCATCCTTCCCACTACTGAACAGAACTGCGCGGCGCATCTGTGCTGCTAATATTAATTGTGGTCATCACTGAAAAGCTCTCACTCTCTCCAAAAACTCTTGTCCAGTCCACTTAGTCAGATTTTAGCCACAGAGATTATTTGGTCTCGTCTTAGTCAACTGAAATGAAAAACTACTTTTGTTTAGTTCGTGTTTTCTGGGTCTATTTAGTCAGTTATAGTCTCGTCAATTGCCACTGAAAAATAGTGTGTAAAATATTCATCAAACACCTGTCTTAGAACCACACACTAAGTTAGGCTAAATTAGGAAATCTAACAGCATTTCTATTCTTGTAGATCACACACTCCATCTATCTATCTATGAGGCACTGTTTCAGAACTTCCCACCCACTCCACACAGCAGCACGCTACTAAACTCACATGCGGCATATCTCGGTCTGGGTCAGAACGGCGTTCTCCACAAAATAGGGCAGCATCTTCAGCACAGCCTCCTGAGAGGACTCCACCACCAGATGCATTCTGTTGACCGGACGGAGAGAAATCTAGCCTCTTCCCTGACCCCTGTCTACAGCCCACTTCTTTGGATCCAAGTGTCGGAGTAAAGGAATGTAAAGAGAAATATCTTCAGGTCCTGACCCAATCCCTGGGTGACAGACTGACAGTTACTTAGTCCGGTCTCATCTGTGTGGTGTAGGTAGGCAGCTGCCTTCTGCTGCGCTGTAGTGGCACTCCTCCTTCTCTCTTCATTTATCTATAGCCTACTTTTCCCCGTCCCTCTGTGTGTGAGTAAAGCAGTGATGAAAAGCAAAGTCAGAGTGCTCCTGCCTGAGGGGACTTGCTGCAGCGCACAGTCTCCAACCGCAGCTTGAGGCAGAGGGCTGTGTCCTACCTCTCCTCCCTCTCTCCTAGGGACTCGCACACAATCCAACCTCCTCCTCCTCTCTCACACACAAACACGCACAAACACTGTATAGCCGGAAGTGATACGACTGGATTTTCTCAACATGAATTCTTCCCCAGCATGAAATACATTTTCCATCCTTATTCAATCAATTCTAAGAAGTCAACCAAACAATGTGTCTGTCCTAGTTCTCAGCTGCAGAGCAACAGGTTTCCACTTCAGCAGGGGAAAATAAGATCCTAATCCAGGATCCTATACTGCTGTCCAACAGAAACCTGCTATCAAAGACCTCAGAGAATGGCTTTCTTTCTTCCCTTCTCTGGGACCAGCAAAGCTACTTGTTCAATTGCAAAAGACAAAAGAAAACAGAGGGACTTTGGGCAACTTTCAGAATGGATGTCTTGATCTCCTTAGCTAGCAGGGGCCAGAGGCTGCATGCCACCCAACAAGTCAACTGACTCCCAGGCAGCGCTGCCATGGAGCTCCTAACATGGGCCAAGCATGGACAAGGAGGGCGGTGAGCCTGGCACACATAGCTCTGCCCAAATCTCATTAACCTCAGGGGAGGGACCAGCCCATCTCCCTCCTTTAAGACTGGCCACTGCTGCCTGTCACTCACTTCCATTCCCATCTGTTACTGTCAGTCACTCCACTCGTGTCACATATGGAGCAGGGTGTGTCTTGGCCGGGTTAGGAAGGAAAAACTTTAGAAAGAGTTGAGGAGTCTGTATTAGGCCTATGTTATGGTTTGAGGTAGACTCCTCTTTTCTCTAACACTTACACACACACACACACGTCATTCAACTAATCTGAGAGGATTTACTGACATAGACAAAAGGCAAGAGCCCTAGGACACATAACACCATCTACTCGTCAACAGGAAGAGCTCTGTGATACCTAACCAACAGGCTACTTGCTAGTCAACTGATCTCTAGGTGGAAAACTCCTTCAAAACCCCTGGAAAACTATATGTGATCAATATTGCCAGGAACAGTGGATTAGCTGAAGGCGGTGCTGCCACCAGCCCAGTGAGGACAGCTTTAGAAGCAGAGGGAGAACCCAGGCCTAGTCCATGTGACTGGGCATTAACAGAATTACTCTTGCAGCCAGATAGATAACTTGGACCGGTCTGAACCAAGCACAGACTGCCGGTAATCTTCTCCTCTGAATCACCAGGTGTAATGGATTACTCTGAAGAGGACTCTCCACACAGAGACGCTCCAGAAGGGGAGTCGCTAGGCGGGTTACTCATGGACCCAGGGCTTTCTGAACAAACCAGCACAATGGAAGAAAAGCCTCTTCTCAGGGCTGGCTAGCTGTTGCATAATGTTGGCATTTTCCCACTGACACCAATGAAGGGGTGGGAGGTGGGGGGGGGGGGGGGGGTATGGAGGTGGATGACCTCAACTACTCAGGTGTCAGTTGGAGAAAATGGTTTCCTTGAATCCTTCCAAATCAATGACATCAGCTTCCTCCCTTTGAATAGGCAGCACAGACACACAAATGTACAACATTTTGAGTATCTGTCCAACAACCACAGGGCCCCAGCACAAAATTCTAAAGTTCACAAACTAATGCCTTGCTGAACAAATGTACGACTTCTTTGAATTGCATAAACCACTCTAGATAAGGATGTTTTCTAAGTAAGCACACACAGCATGTAGCATCAAGTCAAGACTAAAGTGAAATAACACTTGACAGATGGGAGTTCTCCTGTATGTGAGATAAAACTGTCTCTCCTGTTTGTGCAACTCTTCAGTTTAAAGAGATCCTCCTATACTCTTGTATACTTTTTCGCCAGTAGTTCCAAAAGTAGCACTCATGAGCCAAAATTGCTAATCTCATGTTATTTTACACATTTTGCCATGAGGCTGACAGAATGTAAAGGTACAACCTTTTTTATTATTATTAATCAAATGCAACTAACTGGATTTATGTCCACTCCGTCAGACATCATAAACAACGTTTCATTTTTACAATTATTGGTTCTAGTGTTTAACACCGCCTGGCCTTTCAGCCTATATGTATAACGCTAGAGAAAGTTGCCGGGTGTCACCTTTAGCATATGCATCAGATGCATATCAACCCGCAAGGTGCTCAAACATAAGCACCAACGCTTGATAAATAGTACATAAACTTTTGTAAAGGATTAATTGAATGAAGAAATATTTGTGGACATTTAAAAAAAAATAGTTATTTGTTTAGATAGTGAAGGACATGTTTTGTATAATTCTAAAGTTCTAGAAAAAACGTAGGCCTACAGCCTATTTTAATTTCCCTTACAATAAAAACATTACAGTGTAATCCAATTGATCAACTTTATTTGTAGATTCGACTAGTAATAGAGTTACAGTAACTCATGAAGTCCAGTTACAGCTTCTTTTGACAAAGTAGAAAGAAAAAATAAGAAGAATAAATAATATTATAACCAGCCAGGTGCACAGGCAAAATGAAAAGCTCCAGTGCATGAACAATTGTAAAGGATGAATTGCATACAGTACCAGTCAAAAGTTCGGACACACCTACTCATTCAAGGGTTTTTCTTTATTTTTACTATTTTCTACATTGTAGAATAATAGTGAAGACATCAAAACTATGAAATAACACATATGGAATCATGTAGTAACCAAAAAAGTGTTAAACAAAATCAAAATATATTTGAGATTTGAGATTCTTCAAATAGCCACCGTTTGCCTTGATTACAGCTTTGCACACTCTTGGCATTCTCTCAACCAGCTTCACCTGGAATGCGTTTCCAACGGTCTTGAAGGATTTCCCACATATGCTGGGCACTTGTTAGCTGCTTTTCCTTCACTCTGCGGTCCAACTCATCCAAAACCATCTCAATTGGGTTGAGGTCAGGGGATTGTGGAGGCCAGGTCATCTGATGCAGCACTCCATCACTCTCCTTCTTGGTCAAATATCCCTTACACAGCCTGGAGGTGTGTTGAGTCATTGTCCTGTTGAAAAACAAATGATAGTCCCACTAAGCCCAAACCAGATGGGATGGCATATCGCTGCAGAATGCTGTGGTAGCCATGCTGGTTAAGTGTACCTTGAATTCTAAATAAATCACTGGGTGTCACCAGCAGAGCACCCCCACACCTCCTCCTCCATGCTTCACGGTGGGAACTACACATGCGTCGATCATCAGTTCACCTACTCTGCGTCTCACAAAGACACGGCAGTTGGAACCAAAAATCTCAAATTTGGACTCATCATTTTTTACATTTTAGTCATTTAGCAGACGCTCTTATCCAGAGCGACTTACAGTTAAGTGAGTGCATACATTTTAATACTGGCCCCCCGTGGGAATCGAACCCACAACCCTGGCGTTGCAAGCACCATGCTCTACCAACTGAGCTACACGGGAACCAAGGTCCATTGCTTGTGTTTCTTGGCCCAAGCAAGTCTCTTCTTCTTATTCCTCTTTAGTAGTGGTTTCTTTGCAGCAATTCGACCATGAAGGCCTGATTCACACAGTGTCCTCTGAACAGTTGATGTTGAGATGTGTGTTACTTGAACTCTGTGAAGCATTCATTTGGGCTGCAATTTCTGAGGCTGGTAACTCTAATGAACGTATCCTCTGCAGCAGAGGTAACTCTGGGGTATTCCTTTCCTGTGGCGGTCCTCATGGGAGCCAGTTTCATCATAGCGCTTGATGGTTTTTGCAACTGCACTTGAAGAAACTTTCAAAGTTCTTGACATTTTCCGGATTGACTGACCTTCATGTCTTAAAGTAATGATGGACTGTCTTTTCCCTTTGCTTATTTGAGCTGTTCTTGCCATAATATGGACTTGGTATTTTACCAAATAGGGCTATCTTCTGTATCCCCCCCTACCTTGTCACAACACAACTGATTGGCTCAAACGCATTAAGAAGGAAAGTAATTCCACAAATTAACCTCTACGGGATCTGTGTCCCTTATACGAGACGGTTGAGCTAACGTGCGCTAATGTGATTAGCATCACTATTTTAAGTAACAGCAAACTTTCCAGGACATAGACATGTCTTATATGGGCAGAAAGCTTAAATTCTTGTTAATCTAACTGCACTGTCCAATTTACAGTAGCTATTACAGTGAAAAAATACCATGCTATTGTTTGAGGAGAGTGCAAAACAACAAATAACGTATATCACGGCAACTGGTTTGATACATTCACCTCTGAAGGTAAATAATGTAGTTACATTCAGTAATCTTGCTCGGACTTGTCATCCTAAGGGTCCCAGAGATAAAATGTAGCATTGTATTGTTTGATAAAATCAATTTGTATATTCAAAATGTAGAAACTGGGTTCTACAGTTTGAACCCCTGCGGTCTCTGGCTCCACACCCACCCCGCCTGGCCATCTAGATGTGTGAAAGTTAGTGTATAAGCTAATGATCCATCATGTATGACATTCCTGGGAGTGTGTAAACTTACATTTTGTATTACCATATCATTTTTGTATGTTCTCTATAGTTATGTACTTGAAAATGTATCAATTGACACAAAATAGTCCAGTATTGCTATGCTTCACTGGATCAATCTGAAACTTTGCACACACACTGCTGCCATCTAGTGGCCAGAATCTAAATTGCGCCTAAACTGCAATATTATACCGTGGCCTTTCTCT